CAGAGCACTAATGTGCCCAGTTCTTCAGCAAAAAAATTGCTCATTTCCATGTTAAAATCAGCAATATATTGATTACTAGGATGGAAGTTAATTGTTTAGAGAGTTTGTTGTTTTTTGTTGGTTTTTTTGGGTTTTTTTTTATGGGATGAACAGTTTGGATTTTGGTTTTTTACCTCTCTAGGAAGAATATTTTGTGAATTCTTTGCATGTAATTTCAAATCACTGTTTTAATGCAGCAGAACATGGCTATATTGATTCCAAATCCAACAGAGACTACTAGCATAAAAATAAATCCAGGCTATTTCTTTCTTCTAAAACTGTATAAAGTAACATGGGATAAATAAATTCTTTTTCTGTCTGAATGACAGGTCAGTGGTCAGTGATTAACATCTCAAGTTCATTCAATTATAGCAGCATGAACCTTACACAGTTCAACAAGGGTGCAAACAAACATTCCAAATGTGATTCTGAGAGATCTAAATTGATAGGGGATTCAGCTCAAGGAAAAACCCAGGCCTAAGCACACATAGTAGGGGGACAGGATGTTAATATGAAGCATTAAGCAAATATTTCAGATTAAATACATTGTCTATTGATTGGTCATGTTTGTATCTGTTATCATCCCATATCATGATAAAACAGTAATTCTTCTGTACCCTAGACTGTGGTGTCTTGCTAGCCCCTTATATGCCCCTGTAACTGCCATTAGGAGCAAAACCTATGATCCCACTCCTGGGGAGGGAGGGAAAGGGGAAGGGTTCCTAAATTTTTTGGTTTTCACCCAAGAATAAAAGAACCTGAAAGTGAACTTATGTGCTGAAGAGTACATCAGACAATCATGGAAATAAAAGGAATGAAACAGGAGTCAATGAACACTAAAATCCATTTCCACCTAGATCACTAAACATCCTTAGCCAGTGGTATTAGATTTTTCATCTCCAGAGGATGATTTTGGGGGACTTACTCTTAAAAATTTTATGTGACTGTCACAGGTTTTGCAGCAGTGCTTCCTGTATCTAACAGGGGCAAAAATGCTTCATTCAGAAAGAGATAGTTATAGGTTAGTTAAAGACCAAAAAAAGAGAAAATAAATTATTCTTATTTTTAAAATGTGTCCTGTAATAAATGTAGCATGCTTACACCTCATTGCTGCTACCAATTTTAGATAGCGTTGTGAATCCCTCTTTGCGAAATGGCTAATCTGTGTGGGAAGGTATAGGAAATCGGCATGAACATTTGCCCCTATCCCCAGTTTATTACTTTTGGAGATATGATTCTGTATACCTGTAACTTGTTGTTTCTCAACTTTCTGTGTGGATTGCTGGAATACAGGTAAAGCACAGTAGTTTCTGCAAGAAAACAAAACTGGATTCTGTAGAGCTATGCCATCAGTAGGACTACTAATAGAATAAGATATCTCCAAAATAGTTATCACCTAAAATTTCTAGAGGAGACTCAAAGAGGACTGCTAAATATATGAAGGCAATTTTCCAGGGACTGAGAAAAAGAATACAGATGATTTTGTATTTCCCAGCAGCACTAGACAGCAGGTGAAGCAGGAACCTTGTGCCAGGCAAAACCTTCTGTGCTTCCAGACAGAAAACCCCTGCTTCTGCTTACCAGCTGCATGTGTTTCTTTGCTGAAGCATGCCTTTCAGCTTTAAAACACCAAAGATTTAAATGAGTAGAATTTTTAAAACAATCTAAATTAACTACACCCTCACAAAAAAAAATTTTTTTTAAAAAATCTCCCAAGTTCTTTGTATTTGACCATGTTGGAAATAATGAAACAAAATTAATCAATTAATCTTAGGATGGTTGTAATGCTATGAAGATCTATGAATATAATGATTTTTAGCACACGACTATCTCATAAGTGCAAGGGAAGAGAGGCAAGAGAGGCTTCTATCACACTTTAGCTTAAAAAGAGGGATCCACAAAGATAACAGTGAAGATAGGAAATGGCTGAAAACATGTTACTTGGTCATGATTCAAACTTACTCAAAGTTCAGCTAAGTTAAAGGTAAAAAAATTGGTGGTGACCATAATTTCGAAGGAAGACTGGTCTAGAACAAATCCTAAGCAGTCCCTCACCCCTTTAATAACTGTGATTTATAACCCAAAACATACTGACTTGAAATAAGGCAATTCCTGGCAGTGAAAATTATTTTCTTCAGCAATTCTCTGTCACAGAATCATAAGAAAGACATTTCTGTTATAGGGAAGAATCTGTCATTGTTTTAGATTTTTAAAATACTATAAGTCATTTTGTTGTATATGTTGTTGTCTTACGAAGCTGGGAGAAAAATGTTGGGTTCAATCCATTAAACACAAGAATTTGTAATTTCAATTGAATAAGTTTTGAGTGTCTATTACTGATAGGTAAGCTCAAAAAGGACCTCAGCTAACATAGGCATATTGTACGGATTATAGAACTTTAAAAATAATTAAAATTATTTACATTTTGTTGTATGGCCTACAATCTTCCCTACAAGTCAATGTACATTAAATATATGCATGTAATATACATAGAATACATTAAATATACATTATATTTAGTATCTTATTGTATATAGTAGATAATATATAATTATAGTATATTATATATATGTATTTGTTGTGTATACATGCATGTATACATGTATTCCCTGTCTGCCTCTATAGCACGTGCTGATGGTTTCATGCAAATGGAAAGAACTACAGCAAGATCTTGATTTCTTTCTTTAAAGATGTTCATTTATGTAGTGGCATATCTATCTATCTATATCATCTATATCATCTATATCTATATATCTATATCTATATCTATATCTATATCGCTATATATCTATATCTATCCATATCTTTATCAATATCTATATCTAATCTATATCTGCCTGAATCTGACATTAAAGTAGATGAATGCTACAAAAGGAGAGTCTTTTACATCAGAAGTCTAACTCTCAAAAATTTCTTTGAATTATTGAGGTCATTTGTAGCTGTTCTCTTTCCCATACTCCTCTATGACACAGACTATGAAAGACATAGACAATATCTGAAAGGTCTGAAATAAAATTGCACTGAGGCTGTTTGACGAAACAGAATAGCCACAAGTCCATGGGTCCTGACAAGATTTACCCCAGTGTCCTGAGGGAACTGGCTGATGTTATTGCAAAGACACTCTCTTTCATATTTGAAAACTCCTGGTGGTCAGATGACCACCTGCTGACTGTAAAAAGGGAAAAAAATTTCTCTAATTTCAAAAAATGGAGAAAGGACACAGGAATCTACAGAATGGTGAGCCTCATGTCTGTGCTTGGGAAGATCATGGAGCAGATCCCCATGGAGGTAAGGTCAAGACACATTCAATACAAGGTGGTGATCCAAGACAGGCAGAACAGCCTCACCAAAAACAAATTGTGCCTGACTATTCTGGTGGCCTCCTGTGATGGAGAGACTACAACAGACATCAGCGAAGACTGACCGACATCTTCTATAACGTCTTGGATATGGTCCCACATGCCACTTCTGTGTCCAAACCGGAGAGAGATGGATTTTAAGAGTGAAATTTTTGTGGATGAGGAATTGAGTGCACTCAGGCAGCAAGTTGTGGTCACTGATTTTATGTCCAGGTGGAGGCTGGAGGCAAGTGGGGTTCCTCACAGCTCAGCTACAGGACCAGTTCTCTTGAATATTTTAATCAATGACACAGCCAGTTGGATCAAGTGCAGCCACAGCAGGTTTGCAGATTGATAAAATGTGAAAATTGCAAATTGAGAAATACAGCTGTCATAACAAATGACCAGGATACTATCCAGAGGGACCTGCCAAGCCCAAAGAGTGAACCCAGAAGAACCTAGTGAAGTCCATTAAGTCCCAGTGCAAGTTCTACACTTGGGTTGGGCTAATCCCAGACATGACTACAAACTGGGAGAACTCATTTAGAGCAGCCTCATGGAGAAGAACTTAAAAGTTGTGATGATTAAAAAGCTGGACAGAAGCTAACAGTTTGTGACCACAACCTAGAAAGCCAATCACATCCTAGGCTGCACCAAAACAGGAGTGACCAACAGGTTGAGGGAGGTGATCCTCCCCCTATACTCTGTCTTCATGAGACCCCACTTAGACCTCAGCAGAAGAGAGACAAGGATCTTTTGGAGTGGGTCCAGAGGAGGATCCATGAAGATGATCAGAGTGTGAGGCACCTCATGTTATTTGGCCTGGAGAAGTGAAGGCTCTAGGGCGGATCATATGACAGGCTTCCAGTACATAAAGGGGGCTTATAAAGTAAGAGAAAGAGTACCATTTATATGGGCATGTAACGATAAGAAATGGGAGTATAGTTTTAAACTAAAAAAGGAGGTTTTTAGGTTATACATGAGAAAGACATTATCTATTCAGAGGAGAGTGAGGTACCGGAAAAGGTTGTCCAGAGAAGTTGTGGATGTCCTGAAAATGTTCAAGACTATGCAGCCCTAACAAACTGATATAGTGAAAGGTGATCCTGCCTATGCCAGTAGGGTTGAAATTTCCAGCCTAAATCATTCAGTGATTCTATAACATACCTTCTTATCACCAGCACTTTTAAAATAAACCAAATAAATCAACTGAACCTTTTAAAGAGTTATAATATATAATGATGTGGGGAACTATCAAAATTTTTAAAGCTTGAACAAGGTTTCTATAATTCTGACAACTAGAACATTTCAAGTTTGTTATATAATATGACACAGAAACCATGTACTATTAATGAGACCTCAAGTGGGAGAGGAATTTCCATAGCAGTTTTGCACTATGTGAAATGAATGATCATTTTGATCATATTGCAGATAAATGAAACATTGAATTAACTTATTTGGCCTCATAAAGAAGCAGTAGAAATTCATAAAGTCATAGGTCTTCACTCCTACTACAGCTTTACATTCATTTTCCTAGCAGTGACATTCAGAGCAATAAAGAATATTAACATTTTTGAACTGAGAAGATAAATTACCACTTGCAAAGCATAGATAGAACTGTACTACAGAAAACAAAGTTTAATAGATAACCAATATATTCCATTATTAAATTTCATATTACAGAGGTAGCCAATCTTTCTAAGGCGAAGAAAAGAAAGCATACAGTGTGAAAGAGACATAGAGAAAATACCAAGCTAATAGCATCTCTGAACACCACTCTTCACTTCCTCTCACCTTCCCCATAATAGTCTCTGAGTCACAAGAACTTATCACAAGTCTGTACTCTCACACTAGTTCTTGGCTTCAGCTCAATTCAGAAGACACAGTTTTTTTAAAAAGTAAGAAAAAGGGAGAAACATAAACATAACCTGTACATCACTCTGTTGGCCATTCTTGTCACAGAAGAAACTCACTGAGTCAGAAATCAGAAGTTATTTTCCCAGGAAAGAGAAAAATTACCACATGAGAAGGATGGTCCAGGAATCTTTAATTCAAATGCCTGAAGCACTGAGGCTTACCTGTGTAAAAGGAAAGTTGAAAACATTTGTTTCATGTACTGACTTAAAACCCCTCTGAGATCAGTGCTCTGCTAAATACCTTCAATTTGAACAGGTTTCTGTTATCATCAGCTATCATAGGTTTGAATTGTCTTCTGTGCATTCATCATTTAGCAAGAAATGGCATACCATGTTTGCTGCCTGTTGTATAATTGTAATTTTTGTTATTAGGGACAAGGAGGAAGTAAGGAGGGGCATCAACACAACCTCTACCCTTGACTTGCAGGGAAGGAGGGGGGGGTGAGGAAGATAAAATATACAAAGAAAGAAGAAAAAATGCAAAAGAAAAAAAGAATGTCAAGAAAAAAGGAAACAGGGGAAAAGAAGGTAGAAAAATTAAAAACTGCAAAACACTGACAAATCTCTGTAATATAACAAAGCATTGAAAACATAAATATTTGGCTCCCACTTTCATCAATATTTTCCTTAACATTCGTTTTCCGAGTATAGGCTAAATTTACATCAAGTAGTCACATTGTATTTTTAGTTTCACCAGGAATATTAGCAAAGTAGGTTAAATGAGAAAACAAGATTTGTTTTCTTGTGAAATAAAATAATTTTCTGTGCTGACAGACTGTTGGGATCGCTTACTATTAAAAGGAACTTGCAAATGAAATATCGTCTACAATAAATGTGATGGGACAACATGACAAACAAGTAGGCAGGAGGGAATGAATTTCAGATATTAATGAAAGATTTGACCATGTGAATATATGAAAATTCTTGTTTATTGAGAAAAATGCTATGTTTCTAGATTACAGTCCAAATTTCACCATTTTACTCTAATTTTATGTTGCTTTTTACCTTGTTAATTTAAGAGACTAAGGCTAAAATATTGAAGCTGGTAATAAGATATTAAACTTTGCCAAGATGTGATCTAAGCTATCAATTGGTTCGCATTGCTCTGTTGCTTCACATTCATAATTTCAGCATGAAATATTACCTTTTAATGGAAGGCAGCATTTGTATATTTTTTACAAGGATAATGAGGTCAAAATAAAAATTTTACCCAGCCATCCATGAGAACTAACTAATAGTCTGCATATTAAGAAAAAATGGACAAGCCAAGAAGTTTAAAGAGCTATGCTCACTTTATTGTAACCATTTTTCTGTAACTTCTACAGTTTTTGTTGACTTGAAAATTTGTTTCCTCTTGTAAAGTCATCTAAAACTATAATAAAAGGCATATTTTATTTCCGATCATTTTGGAAACAGAAATCACTAATTTAAGAGAGCATTGACTTTTTATTATATTCTTGAAGATTCACTAGAAAAAAAAAATCCATTGTACATCTTTCCCCTTTGTGTAAACCCTAATTTTAACTTAATCTGAGTAATCTTTACTAAATTGCATTTACAGTGTTTCTTTTGTTTTGGTGGGCCTATAGGGGTGGCTTCTTTGACTGCTGCCAGAAGTTTCCCCCATGTCTAGCAGACCCAATTCCAGGTGCCCCATAGATGTACCTGCTGCTGGTCAGGGCTGAGCCCATCAGTGACAATGGTGGTGCCTTTGGGATAACAGATTTAAGAAGGGGAAAAACATATTGTGCAGGAGCAATTGCAGACAGAGAGAAGAGGACTAAAATTTTGAGAGAAACACTCCTGCAGGTTCAGTGAAGAAGGAGGTGGAAGAGTAATCCAGGGGCTGGAGCAAAGATTTCCCTGTAGCTCGTGGAGATCCATAGGAAGGCAGAGATCCACCTGCAGCCTGTGTGAGGGATCCACGGTGGGGCAGGTACACATAGCCTGAAGGATACACACAGCCTGTAAAAACCTTAGTAAGCCCGTGCTGGAGAGACTTCTGAGCAGGACCTGTAGTCCTATGGAAAGAGGAGCCCATGTCAGAGCAGGATTTCTGACAGGACTTGTGACCCCATTCCTGAAAGATGGTACCACAATGGAGGGACCCATAGTGGATAAGCTTGTGAAGAACTATATCCTGTGGAAGGACTCACACTGAAGAAGGACTGGACATCTGGATATCTCTCCTGTGTGGGAGACCCTGCAGTGCAGCAGAGGAAGAGAGTGACTGATGCTCCTCCCCTCTTAGCCCCCCAAATTACTAGGCTGGCCCAGATATATGGGGCCTTGAGGGAAGGCACATCAGGAGATGGGCAAAGATACAAAAGAGGCTCCAATTCCCCAATGTCGTTCTCCAAGCTTTTTAATCCATGAGATAAGGGGGGAAAGAGAGAGCAGACAGGAAGGGTCATGGCCTTATCTACGCTCTGGACAGGGAGAGCTTTCTGGCTCTTCACCAACCCCATCGGAGCAGGAAGGAGAGGACCACACTTATCTGATCCCAGTCACAGGGGTCCCTGGAAATGGGGAAAAGCATAGCCCGAGCGCACTGTAACAAGTGACCACTCCTCCTCCTGAGGAAGAAGGAGTGGCAGAGACAATGTGTGATGAACAGACCACCACTGCCATTCCCTGCTGCTTGGACTGCTGGATGGAAGGAGTGAGAGAAAATCAGAGTGCAGCTGAGACTATGAACAAGAGAAACATGGGAAAAACACATTTTAAGATTGAGTTTTTGTTTCTTAGCCTTTATTTGATTGGTAACAAAATTAATTAATTTTAATTTTTTGTATGTACAGTCTATATTGCCCGTGATGCTAATTATGGAATAATCTCTCCCTGTCCTCATCTCCAGCCATGAGACTTTCATTGTACTTTCTCTTCCTGTTCTCTTTCCAGTTGAGGAGCGGAGTGATAACGACGGCTTTAGTGAACATCTGTCGGGCAACCAGGGTAAACACAGCACAACCTCATTAGATATCTCTACCAAATCCACTAGTTCAAGTGTTGTTTTGAAAATTATTATACTATTTTACTTATATATGTCATCTAAAAACCTCTGAAATTACCTGTTTCCTCTTTGAATGATTTTGAGTGCTCCTAATATGTGACAGTTTTTGTATCTAAACAATATTACAGTCATAGAAAACTCCACCTTCCAGAGTAGAGTTTAGTGAGACTTACACTTCACATTGTTTGATACGTATAATTGATACACATAATTGATACACATAATTGATTCTGTGCTCACTTACCAGCCAGTGCAGAACGAAGCCTTCTGAGGGCAGCCTTCAAAAGGAGCAGTATCATTTGGGCATCCTCTAGTCTCTGTTTTGAAGGAACCAGGCAAACCTGAAATGGGTAAGATGCATTTCTAATTCCTGTGTAGAACAGTGTCCTGAAATGTTATCTCTAACCTCTAAGTGTGAGATCTAACCTCTAAGACCAAAAGCTTTTATTCTATTCAGCCAGTGGTAGTCCTGCTCAGTATAATTCATGGGTTTCATATTTTCAGACTCTCAAAAATGTAAAATATCAAGGCTTTACCAGAAATACTACTTGGTAGCAGCAACAAGAGCAGTAAATTGCAATTTACCTTCAAAGTCAATTACATCATGTCAATAATTCTTCCTTACTTTTTACTACAAGTCTACTGGAGAATTCACTGCATGTAAAGATTAATTTAAAAATTCCCAAATGGCCAGTATCACAGGAGCTTAAGAATTAAGGGACTGCCAATAGGTATTTGAGTATTCAAACAACAGCCTGAGCTGGTATAAATGCATCAACAAATCTGCATAACTTAATAATTTGGTGCAGCTTCAAAATGTAGAATGACGCATACAGAAACACGGATAATTGAGATAATTTGGGCCAGTGATATGTTTCAGGAGATTGTTAGAAGTGTGATATAAACTCTTAAAATTGCTTTTGTTTAAGAAATATTAAAAAGGAAAATACAGCTGGATTTGAACCCGCTATTCACCCTTATCTTGTCACTACCTACCCTCATAAAAAGTTTCTCTCTAGCTTTCTTGTAGGTTTCCTTCAGGTACTGGAAGGCCTCATTTAAATCCCACTGAAGACTTCTTTTTTTTAGGCTGAACAATCCCATTTCTGTCAGCCTTTCCTCATAGGTGAGGTGATCCATCCTTGTAGCACATCTTTGTAATCATCTTTGTGTCCCTCCTCTGGACTTGCTGCAACAGGTAGGTCCATGCCTTTCCTGTGCTGGGACCCCAGAGTTGGATGCAGGTTCCAGGTGGGGTCTCACCCGAACAGAGGGACAGAATCTTGTCCTTTGCCCTGCTGGCCACACTGCTTTGGTTGCAGCTCAGGACACGTGTGGCTTTCTGGGCTGTCAGTGCCCATGGCTGGGTCATGTTCAGCCTCTCACCCACCAGCACCCCCAAGTCCTGCTCACAGGGCTGCTCTCGATCCCTTCTTCCCCCAGCCTGGGCTGGTAAAAGAGGTTGTCCAAATCCAGATGAAGCACCTTGCACTTGGTCTTGTTAGAGCGCATGAAGTTCCCGTGCCTCAACTCCTTGAGCTTTTCCACATCTCTCTGAATGGCATCCTGTCCTTCAGGAGTGTCACCTCACCACTCATACGTACTGAATGTGTTTAATAAAGATATTAAATAACACTGGTCCCCATACAGACCCCAGAGATCACCACTTTTCACAGACATCCATCAGCACTCTGACCCATGGACCACTACCTTTGAGATGCAACCATCCCACCAATTGCTTATACCCATCAAACAACCCACCCTCTAAATTCACATCTCAAATTTAGATAGAAGGGTGTTGTGGAGTGTGGAGCGTGTTACAAAAGGCCAGATAAATAATTTTTGTAGCTCTTCCTTTGCCTATGGATGAAATCAGTTCACAATAGGAGACCACCAGGCTGGTCAAGAAGAATTTTCCCTTGATGGAGTCATGATATAAGTACATCTATGCTGTATACAACACAGCAACTGGAACATGAGTTACCAATATGACAGTCAGGAGGGCCAGCAGTGTCCTGGGTTGCTTCTCTCACAGCCAAGCTGGTAGGGCAAGGCAGGTGGTTGCGACACAATGCCCTGGCCCTACCTTGAGTACTGTGAGCAGTTTTGGGTGCCTCAGTATTGGAGGATATTACAGGAGTGGGCAAAGCTCATGAAAAAGGAGAATAGAATCTAGCTATTAAAAGACAGTGAGTCATAGTTAAGGAGAGTGAAAAAATCTGTATGCTGGGTATAAAAATGGTATAGGTATGTGGTATAAGCTGTAAACATTGGAAAGATATTTCAGTAATGAGGATTAAATACAATGGAATGGTTAGAAGATATGTCAGTTTATTGAATTGTGTAGGATTGAACATGACAAATGATATGTAATAAAGAATGGACACTGTAGTGGGTCTGGCTGGGATAGAGTTACATTTCCCATAACATAGTGCTGTTCTTTGTGTCTAGAAAGGTGCTGATAACACATCAGTGTTTTGGTTACTGCTGAGCAGTACTCCCACGCAAGGCTGTCTCTCCAACATCTCCCTTCACCTACAAAAGCCAGAGCTGAAAGATTGACTAGTAAAGCTGAGCCTGGGAAGAAGCAGGGCATGGTGGGAAGGTATATGAACATTTGATATCATTTCTTATTACCCAATTCTTATTTGGTTAGTAATAAATTAATTTTAAAATATTGAATCTGTTTTGCCAGTGGTGGTGATTTTTGAATAACATTTCTTCCCTGGTCGAGTTGAGGAGGGAGAGTGATAGAGCAACTTAGTAGGCAGCCAAGTGAACACACAGTCCAACCAAGGAGAGTACACAGTCCTCATGGGGAATTGCTGGGGGAACTGGCATTATTGAGCCTGGTGAATAGGACTTAGAGGGGAGATTTTACCACTTTCCACGTACTTCAAAGGAAGTTGTAGAGAAATTTCAGTCTCTTCTCTCAAGTAACAAGTGAAAACAAGATAAAAATGCCTTCAGGAGAGGTTTAGATTGTATTTTAGGAATAAAATCTTCATTGGAAGGTTTTTGAAACTCTAGAACACACTAGCCCAGGCAAGTCATTGGTCACTATCCCTGGAGTCCTTGTACATGTGGTCCAGCCCTTGAGGACCATGGTCTAGTGGTGGCCTTGACAACACTAACAGCTGGACTCAAATCCTAAAGGTCTTTTTCAAAAAAAGCTTTTAGAAAAGACAGAACTTTACTCTCTTAGATCTGAAATATTGATATGAAATGGCAGTACTTTTGATTTAGGAAAAATAGCACATATTACAAACACATCTTTTAATGCCACATCCTGAGAAGGATGTTTCAAGTTCTCATAAAGGAGAAGATAATATAAAATGCCATATTCCAGGAAATATATTTCAACCAAAAGCAGTTGCTACATCATTGATCAAGCCAATGGCATAGCATTTAAAAATAACACAGACATGGAAACATCTTTGGAAGACAGTAAAGCATTATTAGTTCTTCTGTCACATGTAACTGCTACTACAATTTTCATGTTTCATTTTCAAAGGAGCATTCTTCGATGGAAACACACCTCTTTCATTAAAGTAAGTGTGAGTTAATCACAGAAGAGTGGAGGAAAATACACAGACATAAATATATTAAGGTGGAGATCTCCTGACAATGCCCTGGTTTACTTAATTCTTGAATTTGAGCCACACCTGTTAATTTTCCCAGAAATAGAGTAACTTCAAATTCAGAGTACAGTGTTATTCTAGTGCTGTCAGTGTGTGTAGTGCTACACACCACAAAGGAAAATCACAACATATAATACAAGAAATAATTCTCTCTGACAAAGAGTGCCAAAACAGTATTCTTAATTTATTGAGCATCCCCAAAGATTTCAGTTCCTCAGAAGGATAGCAATTCAAGGGCATTAGAATCAAGACCTCTATAAAAAACCTGGCATATTTACAGAATGGAAACAGCAGAAAAATTGTAGCTTCTAGTCTCAGATTTTTCTTTTTTCTTTATTTACAATGTTTCACATTCTGCATGTTCCATGGTGTGCAAATTTATTAAGGTTAATTAAGAGGTAAAAAGAGAATTGATAAGTAATAAATTAAGATGTGAAGAGCTGCTGGATAGAAAAGTCTCCATTTTCTTAGTCAGTATTCCTGTTCTTACTGACAGAAGACATGAGATGAAATTTAAGCCCCTTGTGCACTGAGAAAATATTTGTCACCTGTCCTTTAGATTGATCTCAATACTATTTCCATGCTTTGTCAAAATATCTGTAAATCTCAGTTTAGCTCCCTTGAGTAAAAAAGTAAGTTTGCTATCTTTTCCAGTGATCCAACTTTGACAAATCACTGGTGTATTTTTCACTTACAGAGAACATATATTAACTTGAATTCCTTATTTGGTCTTCTGGCACTCTTCAGTCTGGCAAGCAACTATTTTTGCAGTACACATTTTCAAATGTAAATTATTAAATTTTTTTTAGTATAGATGCAAACACTGCTCTCCCAAATTATTTAAATAGCGATGTCATTCACATATTGTCATCCTCACAGCTACACCTCTAGGAAATATTACATCTGCAAGCTATGTCATATTTTGCTCTGAGGTTATGAGATCCAAAATGATCCGTATTTCTTCAGTGCATAACCACTAGACATGTTTCTCAAAAAAGATATTAAAAGATCAAGAGGCAACATGACTAAAAAAAAAAAACAGGCTATAGAAAAGATGTCACAAAAGTAAATTGAATATTGAAAATTTTTGCTCAGAAAGAAGGCAAGTAAAAAGAGATATTATTTGACTTTTAAAAATGGCAGATTAAATGCATTTGTTAATCTACAGCATCTAGATATCATCAGCTGCATAGCCATTTTTATTACATAGAAGTTTAAGTTAGGGCAAGTCATTAAAGATTTAAATTACAAAATATAGGAAAACACTAGAAAATGTACATAAGCTAGAAGAAGCATCATGGTATTACGGCTGATATACATAGTGAACTGTCAAACTAGATGATAACAGGATAGCAGGCAAAATTTGAGAGACTCATAAGAAACTGGAATCCCTCCAGATAGAAAACAAAAGTCTACTGGAAGTTTACTATTTATCAGGAGATGAATGAATAGTATTTGATCTCATGAACTTTCTAATATTCTTCATAATGGAGACAAATTTCTATTGGAAATGTAGTAGAAATCTTTCCTGTGTAAAAAAAGGAATACTACAGTACTTATTGTTACAGTAATCATATTTGACCTAATAAAAACTATTTAGCTGTATGTTAAAAGATGTATTTTAAAAGCATTCCAAATCATGTAAGAAGAGAAGCTGTCATACTGCAGGAGCTTTTGCAGTGTATTAATTAATGATACTGT